GCCGAATCGGTTGCTACTTTTTTGTTTTTAATTTTTTTTAATTATTTCCGACCGAATTGGTCGCTAACAATTACGCGGTATTTTTCGCCAAAATTTACGACGGATATGGACGGAATATTAGTCGTAATTATTATTAAGAATTGAAAAATATATTTTTATGTAATTTCCGACTGATTCCGTCGAAAATTTTCGACTACTTTTTTCGGTTGGAAATAGGCCGTTTTTAGTAGTGTATTGCACAAGATTGCAAAGCCATGTTTCACGTCCTTTTTGCGAGAAATGTAGTGAGTGAAGTGTTAATTATAAGTGACATCTTCTTGTTGATTAAGTACTTTCATTTTTAAATTAATGATTCTTTTTTGCAAGTAAATTTGCTAATCAAAATTTATCGCTTATTTGTTAAAGAATGTGTTCATGGTAAACTAGAGAATGTTCTTTTTGGTATCCCAAGGGGACAAATGGTGGCAAAAGAAGTCACAACATTAAACTAGAATTTTATTGTCCAACTGGATTTTTCATACTCCTTTTTTTTTTTCCTTTTATGTGGAAACCGTTGTTTTTTTTCCAAATTATTTAGCTCAGAATATACAATATCAGTATCTCATAGCATCAACTTTTGAGCTAATACTTTGTTACTGTGGAATTTTAGTGGGCGTTTGGACATAAGAATTGTAAAATTCTAAAAAAAGGTGAATTTTTTTTCAAGTGAAAAGGATATTTGAAATTTAGAGTTGTGTTTGGACATGAATATAATTTTGGGTTGTTTTTTAAGTTTTGTGAGTGATTTGAGTGAAAATTTTGAAAAACAGCTTTTTGAAATTTTTTAAATTTTCAAAAATTTCCAAAATGCATCTTCAAGTGAAAATTGAAAATTTTATGAACAAACTTTGATTTAGGAAAAAAGTGAAAAAAATTTGAAAAAAAGAAAAAAAAATCTTATTTCCAAACGGGCTCTTAGTAATTTTGGGGCAGCATATAGCGGCATTCTGTGTATTAATCTTGGAAGTAAGCCCATAAACTCACACACTGGACCACATATTGGACCCTTTTTCTCATTGAGAGGAGCAACCCAGAGTTGGTAACTAGGTCCAGCTCAAGCCCATAATTGGCGGCCCGAGTAATGAGAATATCCTTCCTATGTCTGAAATCTGAATTAGCAGATAAGTTAACATACAATGATTGGGGAGAATAGACAAACAACAAGAGTTAAGGTGTCATTTTCTGAAGCGATTTCCTAATATATTGTTCTGGCCATTGTTTAATTCTCCTAACCTCTTATTCTAATTGTTTGCTGTTTTTACCAAGTAAATGCTAATATGACTTTTTTTACTTTCTTAGTGTATTTTGGGGTAATAAAAGAGATATAAGGATTTGGTAAGATTAAGATCTCAGGTAAATATTCGGTGTGTTTCACTATGTAAGTTATATATTAGATAAGAGTAAGATCTGCGTACACACTATCCTCCCAGACCTACTAGTGAGATTTACTGGACCGTTTTTGTTGTAAGAGTTCGACTAGTGAGTATATTAAGTTCTAAGGTAGCTTTTCTCTTACTATTATATGTTAGAGGGTGTAAATTTCAACCGGCGGTCCCCGTAAATATTAATCACAATAAAGAAAGAAAATAGAGCTGTCAATATGGGCTTGGCTCGTTGGGCCATCCCAGCCCGTAATCTAACAGGGCTGGGCTAGAATTTTTGGAGCCCATTTAAAAATGAGGCTTTTAAGCCCGCCCAAGTAAGCCCGTGGCCCGTGAGGCTTGAGAGAGGTTGGGTTGGGCCGGCCCGTGGGCCTAATAAAAATACGTAGTTAAAATATATAAAATATAAAAAGCATATGACACAAAAAATAACATAAAGAGTATGCTTAAAGTTTATTAAGCTCATCATATTTAAAGATCATAGTCTTAAAACGTTAATTAGTTTTAAAAATTTAATTATTCTTAATATTTAACTAATTAATATTGCATACGAATTGTAGATGTAGATGAAAGTGAAGATGTTAAGACAACCTTCTCGCAAGCGGATTCAAATGTGTTTGATGAAGATGATGTGTTGGATATCCCATAAGCGTATGGACGTTCTCTTGAATACTTATATTTGAGTTTGACTTTTAGTGAATAAAATATAGTCTTGTCTTTTATTTTTTAGTGTTTATTGTGATATTGGAACAGTATAAAAGTTATTAAGTTTTGTGACATTTTTCCAATAAGATTTTTTTTAACTTTTAAATATTTATCTTTTTTTTAGGTTAGAACTTAAGGAAAAAATATAAAATTATATTTAAAAAAATAATGGGCCAGTCTGTGGGGGCCCGCAGCCCGCATAAAGCTGGGGTGGACTGACCATTATAAGGCCCATCAAAATAACGGGCTAGCCCAGCCCAACCCGTCAATTGCTAAAGCCCACGTGGACTGGACTGGGGTGGGCTGGGCTGGGCTAGCCCGACCCCTCCCATATTGACATCTCTAAAAGAAAATGCATAATCTCCACCACCATCGCCGTAATCTTCAATTCACAATGACAATTGACATATAATTTTTAATGTCAAATCATCTTTTAATGTTTAGAATCAATTCTCTTTTGGAAATATTTTTTCATTAACCGTTCAATACATTTTTTTAATTCTCAAGCTTTTATTGGAAATTTTCGAATAAAGATAAAAGGGTTCCTCCATTTACCACATCATATTCCTTGTGGTTAATTGGTTATCAAAAACATCTAACCGATGTATAGTCACATATGAATGAATATAGGGAAGAATTACAAAGAAAATATACATGACTTCACAACATAACAGAAAATGGCCCATATTTTTAAGTTTACCCAACCTAGCCCATATCGTACATATTTTGAAAATAGTAGCTCTTTCAAATTCAAAATATGTGTTCTTACAACCATTACTTTCACTCTCTCTTCTTCTCACATATTTTACATATGCTTCAAGGGGTCGTCCGCCATTACTGCTTCTCCCCCTATGTCACCTGGTTACAATGTAAAAAAATTGAAGTGTAGAAGTCCACCATTGAAGGCCATTCAAAGCTTTAGTTTCGAAAATAGGACTTTTTGAGTTTGTTAGTTGTTTGGATTGGGTGTTGTTTTGATTGAAAATATCAAAAGGAGTTCAAAATTTAAATTTGAAGTGATTTGGAGTAGATTTGAGCAGATTTGAGTTAAATTTCAGAAAAGACGCAAAGAAGAAAACGAAGTCAATTTTTTGTATAATTATGTATAATCTTGTATAATAGTGTATAAACACATATTATACATTATTATACACTTTTATACACCTTTATACAAAAGTCTGTAGACGAATTTATTCCACGATTTCCAGTTGCAATTCTTGTTCAAAACTAGTCCAATTAATCTCCATTGAATGACTTCAAATTTTATATACAACCTCCGTATACTATTTCTAACAAGTCTAAATAACATCCACTCCAAATTTCTCACAAAATCAAATTCGGAAATTTAAACCCACATATTTAAGCTTGTTAAAAATCTAATTTTCACCACCCCAATGGATTTGATTTGTTGAACTGATATTTGAGTCACAGTTACTGATTCGAAAATTAACTTAAAAGCTTGAGCAAACTTTTTTAAAAATTAAATAGTAATTTTGAGAACCTATTGGAGTTGGAAGTTGAATCTTAGCCTATTACTTTTAGGTTAATTGATTGTAAATTGAAATATCGGCTATAAAATTGAAAAATAGAGAGTCCAATTATTTTTATGTGAAGTTTTCCCAATATAAACTTCCAAATATGATTCACTTTTTTGTTGGAAAAAAGTGAATCATATTTGGAAGTTTATATGACTTTATATGTGACCTTTTTTTTGGGCTATCGGGAAATAAGTGTTTAAAAGGGAGATCTGCCAAATTTTTCACTGGGAGCATAATATCTTCGTTTAACCCAAAGAAAGTAGAAGAGATTAATTGGCTATCCGGGAGAAAAAAGATAAAGAGTAAGAAATTATTAACAACTTGTTGAATAATTTGAATAGCATCCCTATCTATTTGTTTTCATACTCGTTGAGAAATGTTTTCTTTAGTCGAAGATCTAGTGAAAACTGAAAACAACCTTTCTATCATCTTGAAATCGGGGCAGAGTCTATTTATACTTTACTTTTCTCGCATTTCATATTGTGGGAATATACTCGATATGTTATTGTTATTATAACTTTCCTTTTAGCGGTAGCAATTTGTTTTTGTTGTAATTACTTTATATTCTTGTCGATTGAATAGTTAACAGATGGATATGGAAACTAGCTCTGGAGCCCAAAAGAGTTAGCTGCTGTATATAGTTTATTAGATTGAATAAACTTTTTTTTCGACCAAAAAAAAAAGTAGAATGGAATAAAAATACTATCTTCACACCATAATTTTTTGTTTGATTACTCTTCAAAAGTCAAATTAAACTTTTTAACAGAAAATATTATATAAGTTTTATCTCGTTTTCTGAAAATTATGAACTCTTTGCATTGTACTTTTTGTGATTTCAATTATTAGTTGTTTTGGAAAATTAAATTCTTTTTAAATTTTTTGATATCTTAAAAACAATAATGTATTTCTTACTACATTATATTTTATTCTTACATTTCTTGTTGCTATTAGTGTATGTTAATTAAGTGTAATATTAATCGAGTGACACGTTTATAAAATATAAATGTAACCAAATACTCTCATGATTAAATTATTTCAAAGGTATAAAAACCTTTTTAAAAGATAGTAATATAAACCATATAAACTAATGATTTTTTATTGAAAATTGTGAAAGATAATTATTAAAATGAGTTTGATTGAAATTAATTTAAACTTTTGAAAATAACGGAAAAACAATTTATGAATACAGAGTAGAAAATAGAACAACGTCAGAAACTATAGCGAAACCACTCGACGAAGTGGGAAAAGCCAAAGGAATGGACCAAATACTCTGCCTAATATAAGTATTGCTATTGAATCAGACAAACAGCTTTATAAAAAGACAAAGACAAGCTTAGGACACAGTACCAATCACATGGACAAACTTGTCATTTTCTTCGGCCCACCCAAATGCCCATTCATTACCTTCCTTTGTCGTCTTCGATAATCATCTCTATAGCCCCATAGCATGTGCTTCCCTTTAATCCACCATTAACCACACCCCCTACCCCTTTTCAACCCCACCCACCCCTCCTAGCAACCTCCGAATCGAGGGAATAAAAGTCCTCCTTTATCCTTTAATTTCCTCATTCAGATCTATCAAATGAAGCGGCAATTCGACGGCGGGGAAACCGATTGTGCTAATTTCGCCGCCGGCGAAGGGGAGTTGAAGAAGATGAAACAAGTCATAGAGTCGGAGGAAGAGAAAAAGTTGCCGATGAAGCGGCAATTCGATGCCGGAGAAACTAACTGCACAGCCTCCGCCGGAGACGGTGACTTGAAGAAGAAGACGAAGATGGAGGAGATTATAGAGTCGGAGGCGGAAGCGGAGGCGGTGTTGTTGGATGAGAATCTGCTGTACGAAGTGCTGAAACACGTGGACGGGCGCACGTTAGCTACGGCAGCGTGCGTTAGCAAGCAGTGGAACCAGACGGCACTAGATGAGCGGCTCTGGGAGCTGATCTGCACAAAGCACAACCGTAACCAACAACAGCAGCTCCGCGCCGTCGTCCTGGCTCTCGGCGGTTTCCGACGGCTCTACTCGCTTTACCTCTGGCCACTCTCAAAGCCGTCGCCGTCTCCATCGTCGTCTTCTTCGACTCCTCCAACTTCCACCTGGCCTTGCCTTCCTCCACCGCCTACTCGGCCGTTGAAATACGCCGCTACGAACACTCGATGGGGAAAAGATGAAGTCAATCTCTCGCTATCGCTGTTATCGATTCGGTATTATGAGAAGATGAACTTCAAAGCTAATAAATCAACTTAATTGATAATTCAATTTCAAAATTTAACATTTTATTGTCCTAATTTTTCAGCTTATGGTTTGCTTTTATTGTGATTTATGCTTTTAGATCTATTGATTTGGATCTATAACTCTTATGTATCATATGTAAGCTTTTGATATTCCAAGCAGTTAATGTAAACTGAGCCCTGGTTAATTCAAGTCACTGATACTAATTACTAATGTGCTTACCATTAATTATTAATCTTTGATCGTAAAGTTCGTTGTTTGGATGTGACTTGTGAGGAAAAAGGAAAAGAGGAGGATTAGCATGAAAATTTGTGGGCAGAAACAAACAGATAAGAACAAAGAGGTGTCCATCCTTTCTGGCTTTAATTATGGCTTTGGGGGAAACATTCGAAAATGACGAAAATGGGGCGTCACGTTTGAGATGATGTGTCTTGGCTCTTGGCTCTTGGCTCTTGGCTGAGCTGGCTCTTGGCTCTTGGCTCTTGGCTCTTGGCTCTTGGCTCTTGCCTCTTGGCTCTTGCCTCTTGGCTCCTGGGATGTACTAATGCGCATTAGTAAATTCACATGGATTTGGCTTGAGATTATATTGGAATAGGTATTCATTCGGCACTTTGCCAGTTGATTCTTGGTGGGTTTTGCTGGAACCTGGAACACTGGGTTTTGGGCCTTCCATATTTGGATCCCAAATATTAAAATATTAAATACCTCCAGTACCAATTTGCTTTTTTATTTTGGTTCAAAATAAGTGTCCATTTATATAATCAAGAAAAAATTCAATTTGTTTTTACAAAGTTATCCTTATATATATATTTCTAAAAAGTTTTTTTACTCCTCACATTAAATATTTAATTAAGGGTAATTTAGTCATACTAAGTATTTTTGTATATAATTTAGTATTTTCTTAATAGGCGTGCCACAAGTAAATTGGTCACTTATTGTGGACCGGAGGGAGTAATGTTTATAGCTATTCTTAGGGATGCTATTTAGAGATTAGTTAGTACTTTATTTTGTTCTAAAATTTCAAATTAAAAATCTGAACTTCAGGACAATTAAGTATGTTTTCGTCCTGAAAAAATAAACTAAAAAATTGAAATTCAAGACGCACTGACTAATTCCTAAATAACAGCCGTTTAGAATGGCCTAGTGTAGAATAAGGTGATAGCTCCCATAAAATATTCTTTTTTTAAGGATTGAGGGGTCAAGTGAGCTCCATACCTTTCATAGTTGAGGTTAAAGGTTCAAGTCCGTCTAATATGTGTAACTTTTGTACCAAGTGAAGCTTGCGTCTCAACATAACTTCAACAGTTCAACTTACCAAATTTTATTTGACTTCAATTCCAAATATGCTTGTTTTTCTATATCCACTCGAAGCGCCTACTTGAATGCACGTATATGATTGATTCTGGGCTGGTGTAAGGCCCAATTAGGATTCAATTTTTTGTATCGTCACTATTCTGTAGTGTACTAAAAGGACGAGCACTTTCTCCCACTTGACACACAGGCGCGCGCGCACACAGAGGGAGGGAGAGAGGGAGGGAGAGACTATTGTATGGGGCAAAATCTGACCAAAAGAATTCTATTTAAGGAAGAGCAACCAAGAAGCAACCAAGCCGAAGTCGCGTGTAGGAAGCGATATGCCGGCGAGTGATTTGGCTACGGTCGAGGTCGAGCACTCAATTCGGTCTGAACGGCCAGTTCATCACTCAGATATTCTAGAGGAATATCCTGTGAGATATTCCAAAAACTCGGGTAATTCGGTTAAGGACCGCTGGGTAAGGAAAGTGTTTGGCATAAATATCATGAGAAAGTATGACACAAGGGGGCAGCACATACACATACAACAAGAGATACATCCCTAAAAAGGGAAGGAGGCTCCCGAAACCCGGGGCTCCTGATCGAAAAAGGAGATGAGAGCTTAGAATCTCGATATGCATCTCTAATTCTAGTTTATCAAACGGATGGAAGGCAATTTTGTTTGAGTATGATGATTCTTTTCCTTTAATGTATTCCTCTTGTCATCCGATATTTTTGGAGCAATTACCTGTTTCTTACATCATGAGAGTCAATCGTTGTTGTAATCAAAACTTATGTTTAGTTGTGCTTGTTCATTCCTATCATTTATCTCAGATGTAGAATTGATTATCTTTGGCTAAAATTTGCACCAACTCTTTTTATCAAACTGGTTTAACTAATAAGGCCTAATACTTTTTAGTCAAACAATTTGGCGCCGTCTGTGGGGATTTTTCTAGCCAAATTTTAGTTTCCTTCAGATCTAATGTCAGTCAGAGTTCCCGGCTGTCGTAGCCTCGCCCTCTCATTGCAAACACCAACTTGAAAAATTTATAGGCAAGCTTTTGAAATAATTGAACCAACCGAGGTCAGATCTTTGTATGAAATCGAAATTATGTTTGATATCCGTACGAAAGCCACGTCTTGCTGTAGTGACGGGTTTGGTACATCGTGAGTATGAGTTGTCAAAGTTATGGACACTACGTATTGAGCATGTCCACAATCCTACTGGCTATATTTGCGTTAGACATTAATCTATACTTTATGCACACTACCCCCTCTCTCGGGAAGGGACGATAGCCTATTTGTATAATTCTTTAAAATAAAAAGTTTGTCCTGACCATATATACGAAGTGTAATTTATGTTTTCCTCATTCTTGTGCACCGAGGATTGGATCTCGAACTCGAGATCCCAACAGGCGAAGTTGTCAAGATGCCCAGACTCGACTCGCGGCAAAGCTAAGCGCGAGGCTGAGATCCAATCTAAAGCCAACATTCGAGTACGGGGCAAAACGAGTCGTTCTACAACGCCCCTCTCCCCACGCCAACCAATCAGGTCAAGGTAACATTAAACGATTTCGTTTGGATTTAGCTTGTTATCTTTCTCTCTGAATGAGGATGAGAACAGGGTTGTTCTCCCAGATACGCGAATAAGGAACAAACGCCATCAAAACAACGCACAAGCAAAACATTCCGCACCATACCATCCTGCAGGTAACGGCCGAGTAAAATTCCCTCTCCAACAAGTTGGTGCTTAAACACCATAAAGAGAAAGACCTGTGTAGACCGGGACTGGGTCACCGGTCCGGAAAAATATGAATCTCTCCAACAAGTTAGTGCTCAACGCCAAAAAGGGAAAGACCCGCATAGACTGGGACCGGGTCACCGGCCCGAAAAACATGCGAATCCCTCCAGCATACAGATAGAAAACAAGCGCGTAAAACTCACCTACGCGCTCACCAAAGCAACTATGCAACAGTATAACTAACTGAAATTCGATCTCGTCCTCACATTGAGACGTCCCGAAGCTTGAGCAAGACATTCATCGCCCCGCCTATCGACTACTTCTATAGGCCGAGCGATGAAGGGACTAGACAGACTCGGACTCCTCGAATGTATGCACGGATCGAACGGAAACGTGTAATATCCTCCAATGAATAAACATAGTATGACATTCCTACACGACGCCAAATGTACACAACCACGCCAACGCAAAGGAACTATGCATTCTCACTTGAATTATTTTCCTAGATAAAATTCGACCTCGCTCGAATTAGCAGGTCAAATCCGACCTTGCTCGAATTAGCAGGTCAAAACTGACCTCGCTCGAATTAACGAGGTGAAATTCAACCTCGCTCAAATTAGCAGGTCATATCTGACCTCGCTCGAATTAGCAGGTCAAGTCTGACCTCGCTCGAATTAACAAAACGAAAATTCGACCTCACTCGAATTAGCATGTCAAATCTGAACTCGCTCAAGTTAACTACCAAAAGTCGGGGACTTATTACGAGAAAATCCAAGAAATTCAAAAAGAAGGAAAGGCAAAGGCGTACGATCAAAGACAAACCAACTACTTTATTTAAAGAAACAAAAGAACATCTTACAAAGGACCAAAAAGGGGCCCCCACCTACCCAACTAAGTACAAAAAAAAGAAACTAAGTACAGAAGGAAAAAATCAAATGCAAGAGCTTCGTTCAGCATTATCCACGTTCACACCGTCATCTCTCTCTTCGCTCGGTTCATCAACCTCACTTCCACCATCACCATCTCCATCAGAATGTTCCTCATCAAAGGCAAGCCCGTCCTCGGCCTCATCAACTTCACCAGCTTCCAGCGTCGAAGGATCATAACCACAGGCAAGCTAGGCCTCACGCGCTTTAGCTAGAGCCCCTTCGAAAGCGAACTCAGAGACATTCCCCGCTACTAGCAAACCCTTATATATATCCCGCTGAGCCTCAGCGTGAACCCACATCCCATACAAAGGACGAGGAACGTCAACAGAGGTGGGCACAGGATGAGCCAAAGCCAATAATTGCACCTTCTCCGCCTCAAGAGCAGTAACTTGATCACCCTCGAGACCTCCCTCTCAATCTCTCCAATCCGCTCATCAAGTCGCGCCTCCCTCAGAACGGTCGTCTCCATCTCAGTGGCACGTTTGGACCTGAGAACGCTGATAGTACCTTCCAGCGCCGCGACCTTCGCCGAGGCCGCCACTCAGGCTCCTTCATCCCTCTCCAGCTCGGTCGCCTCCCCTTCCAATTAGGTCACCTTCTCCACCAATTCAATACTTAAACCGGCGACCCTAACTTCACTCTGCTCAAGCTCCGCCCGTAGGGCCACTACCTTCGCCTGAAAGGTCAACACACTTAGCTGCAACACCCTTGCCCACCTCGAGCTCTTCTTCCTTAGCCCTAAGCAGCCCCTCGAGTTCGCTGCATCTACTCATGGACCACATCAGGTCCTCATCTTTCCATTCCAACTCCTCTTGAAGGGACTGAGGATTGCCACCTGCCCTGAGTCATGCATGCATCTCACGACACTTGTCACAGAATCGGCAATATTTTGAAACCATTTTCTGAAAACGGAAGCCCGCCTATCCTTGCGGCGGATACTCTCCGTCTCCATAATAAAGGTCTGAAGAAAGAAAAGAGAATAGAAAGAAAAAATTAGCAAGAATAGGAGACGAAAAATGAAGAAAGCAATAGACTCACCCTCAAAGCCATTCCGGCTACGCCCCGTTATAGGCCGGCATCACTGATCTCCTGAAGGGACCTGCTCTTAGTAGCGGAAAAAAGAAGGGCAAATTGAGGCACCGGGCTCACCGTGTCCTCCAACAAGTCACACTTGGGGGAAATCTCGATCACGCGGGAGGAATCGCCCATCCCCGCCTCCACCCGACTGAATCCCGCCTCAAACATTC